TATATATACATAATGGTAACATAGTTGATTGTGGTTTTGAATTAAAATATGTGCTTGGAAAACACACAACATCCCACTTTAAAGTAGAAAAAAGTTATTATAATTCTACACAGAACATTATAAGAATAAGTTGGAGAGTTACCATAAAGAGGACTACAGATATAGATTCACCATGAGGCCCAAAAACCTGGTTTACAACCAGGTTTAACGCGTGTTCACAGCTTTTTTTATGACCACAAAATCCTCTGAGGCAATTCCTCCACCGTCTCCACAACTGCTGTAATTTGTGCTGAGAGCAGAGATAATCTGTTTAGGAGAAGATTAGGTCCATTACAGCACGGTGTGCAAACATAAGAACCTCTTTCTGTCATCCTGAGAGGCTCCAAACTTCCCTACAAACATCGTTAACTCTGGAATCCCAATGAAGGAGGTAAAGAAACCRAGCATGAGAGAGAAAAGATGAGTGAACAACCAAACAGAGAGGGAGGAGAAGGAATGAGGGGAAAGAGGACGGCACAGTTAACTCTTCCCCCCCTCTAAAACTATTACATCGCCTACGCTCTGTTTGTGGCCAAGTTACCATGGAAATGAAAAATTACAGGACGTTGTTATAGTGTGTGGAAAGCAAAAAGGGGAATCTGTCTGACTCGCTGTTTTTTCCTGCTTCTTCTTCTCTTAACGGAATCTGGGAGGGTTGAAGTCACTGTAAAGCCTTTTGTCTTTGTTGTGTTTATTCAGAGGGGTGAGACGGCGCTCCACATGGCAGCGAGGGCCGGACAGTCCGGCGTGGTCCGGTATCTGGTTCAGAACGGGGCRCGAGTCGACGCCAAGGCCAAGGTAAGCTGTCATCATCAGCCACCATGTTTTCACAGAGGAGAGTCAGGGCAGGACCATTCTGCTTACACCACAGGTTTTTTTGTTCTTTGTTGTTTTTTTTGTTGTTGTTGTTAAAGAGCTCACCAAGAGAATTCCTACTTTGATTTTTATAAACTAGATTTTACACACATTTTTTTCCATGTGCATGAAACAGTCTGTTTAAACTCCTGCCTCTTTGATTTGATTTGATTTGATTTGATTTATTTAACAGGAAAAAATTATTAAAAATCAAGCCTGACTCAGCATAATTGCTGTTTTACAGCAGGTTCCTGTTCTGCAGCACATAAAACACTCAGAATTACAGCATCACAATCACAT